TTGGGTCCAGCACTGGGTCCCCAGAGGCTTCTCAGAGGCCATGGTTGAGCTTGAAAGAAAGGCCTTGAGCTCTTTACTTGTCTGAAGGCTGAGCACAGATGCTTCACATGTCAGAATTCTATTTAATGTTTTGTATGAAAAACTGTAAGGGAGTATGTCAGCCTCTTGTGCACTTGGACAAACCACCACCACCACCATCACCACCACCACCACCACCACCACCACCACCACCACCACCACCACCACCGAAAACGGGCTGGACGTTGTTCTCAGTACTATGAAACTGATCCCGAGTGAACATGTGATGGTACTGTGTTTGAGTCCGGCATGGCACCATGCACTTGCAATGAAAACCAAGAGTCATTAAGTCAGGTGTTGTCCTCAAGGGTTATGATGTGACTTCAACCTGGAAGTAGTCTTTCTAACATATTTGTGTGTTAGTATAAAAAGAAATCTCCAATACTCTAGATTTAAATCCTCTGGAGATTTGTATGCTATTCAACTTCTCGCTTCTTAGAATGGCTTACAGACACGGCCTTGCTAGTCTAACAATGGAACATCCATGAATCCAGTAGTTGTTCAGTCCACAAGACTGATGTCTCAGCCAGTCTTCTTCGGTCTATGCCAGAATCTCAGAGATGTGAGGCTCCAATGCCAGTGAAGGAGTAGACTTCTTAGTGAGAGTGAGAACAAGCAGCCAAGAGAGCACACACACTTCCTTAGTCCGTGTCCTTATATAGGCTGCCAGCAAATGATGTGGTCCAGATTCAAGGTGGGTCTTCCCACCTCAAAAGCTCCAGAATAAAAGTAGATATTCCCAGTTAAAATGATTTAATTAAGGAAAAAAAATCTTTCCCTCATGTACCCAGCCACTTAGGTTTTAGAAAATTCCAGATGTAGTCAAGTTGAGAAGCAAGAATAGCCGTCACAATGAAATGTATGTAGGTTTTAGTTTTCAGCTAAACTAAATAAAACTGCAGGAGGAATTTTGAAGATCATTCAGAGGTGAACTATATTTGCCAAGTTCAATTCTACCCCCACCCACCCCAGCCTTTGCTTGCGTGTATGATGCCTAATAATGCCTCATTCTGATGCTGCACAACTGAGGAAAGAAGCAGTTAAGTCCCAAGTCAGTTTGTACTGCAGTCTTCCAATATTAGAGATTCTAGAACTCTGTGGGTATTCCTGATACCACAGGTTTGAGAGGACGGTTCTCCACAGGTCTGGCATCTTTTGGGGCAGGATCTCTTCCACAGGGTAATTACAGAGGAACAGATTGGTGCTTTTCAGGCAGTTACCTGCAATGTTGACTTTCTATGCAGGGTTCATGTGCGGTCTTGAGTAACTGCTCTGACTCCTGCAGGCTGAGGCTTCATGATGCTGCCCTGATTAGAAGCTCAACCTTCCTTATGTCACCCAGGGTCCCTCAGGGATGGGTCTTAGTCACCTCTGTCATCCTATATGAGATGCTAAGGGACACATGCCAATTCTTGAGCAAAGTCATCAGACATTATGACTGTAGTAGAGGGAAAAGATAAGAACTGCCCCCTCCCTTCTTTATCAATCAGAAATTTGTTCCTATAAGCACTGGAAATGAGGAAGAAGAGGAAGGGGGGAGCTACAGCACCCCAGGAGAATGAGAGCTCAGTAGCTCACGCTTGCTTCCATGTTATTCTGGCAACAACTAGCTGGGCTCTAAACTAGCCTGGCTTAAAGTTCTGTCATGCTGGGGCATGTAGATTGTGTGTGATTCAGAGTGCGAGAGGGGACAATATACACATCATACACACAAAAATAAATACATTTTACGAACCAAATTATAGGGGCTGGAGAGATGACTTAGTAATTAAGAATGGTGGCTGTGCATGCAGAGGACCTGAGTTCCATTCCCAATACCCAGTTTCGGTGGCACACAAACACCTGTAACAGCATGTTTGCTGGGGGACGTCTGTGTGACAGACATTTTCTTGATTGTCTTTTCATAGTGTACTTAAGAGGCAATGAGCGAGGGCAGAAGGATCATAACTGATTCCAAAACAGGAAGTAACTGAATGGTGTAAATGTTCTTGAACAAGGGGTGCTGAGGAAGGACTTGGGAAGATAAAGCCTTGCTTCCGAATGTAGTGACCAAATGTCCTCCATGGTGCATCCAGAAGAGAGGGGCTCCAGCAAGTCCACATGTGTGGAAGAAGTGCTGATGACCCCATGGGACACTGTGCTTTCTTGTTTCTGGACAGTAAATTACAAACTATTAAGAATATTGTTCCATAGACACAAAAGGAATGCCAAGTGAATTTTAAAGATATTATCTAGCTTTATTACACACACACACACACACACACACACACACACACACACACACACACCCCTTTATGCCTGTCACTTAAAATGTTGATTGTAGTTCTGTGTTTTTCTGTATGCTCATGTTTTTCCTTCTGGCCCTGCTCCTGATAGAACAACTCTGAGGCTCAAATATATTTACAAATGCCTAGCCAAAAGCTTTGGTTGTTGCCGGCTAGTTCATAAGTTGATCAGCCGGTTATTCTATTCTAAGGTCTGACATGTGGCTGTTAGCTGGTCTTCGGTTTTTTGCTGCTGTTTCCACCAGTGTTCTGGGGCCAGTCTCCACCAGTCTCTCTCCCAGCACCCTCCCCTCTCTCTTTGCTGGCTGTCCCACCTTCTAATTTCCTGTCTAAACTCATTGGTCAATCAGCTTTTTATTGACAGGTGAATGCTTCTGAAACGACACACAGGAGATTATCTCTACATGTAATAGCATCTCATTGTAACTTGGACATGCATTTGCTATTAAAATATCATGTTTAACTATTTTATTTGTCAGAATGCTTTCTCAGTTTTTTACTAAGATAAAAAACAAACAAACAAAGAAACAAACAGCAGAGAGCTGGAGAAATGGCTCACTGATTGCTCTTCCAGAGGTCCTGAGTTCCTAGCAACCCATTTACAACCATCTGTAATGGGATCGGATGCCTCTTCTGCTGTATCTGAGGAGAGTGATGGTGTATTCACATACATAAACTAAAAATAAAGTCTAAAAAAAAACTAAAACAAACAAAAACTAAGCAAACAGCAACAAACAAACCAAACCCAAAACCAGCTCTTGGTGTTTTAGGCACTTCTCTGAGGCGCTCACAGCATTAAGGGCTGTAACTTGGTATTTGCTGGTCCTTGTATGGTCAGCTTCTCAACCTAAGTGTATTTAATTCATGGGGGCAATCTTTAACCCAGGACTGGCTTATTTGCTTAAATATCTACAATCTGTTTCTTTAAAGGTTTATTTTAATCTTTATGTGTGTGTCTACATGTCTGTGTGTTTGTATGTCCAAATGCCCGCAGAGGCCAGAAAAGGAAGTCCTTGGAACTGGAGTTACAGGTGGCTGGGGACCACTTAAGCTGGGTATTTGGAATGGATCACAGGTCCTCTGAAAGAGCAGCAAGCATTCTTGACCACCAAGCCATCTCTCCAGCCTCTATAATTTGGTTTTGGAAAATTTTGTTTATTTTTGTGTATATGAGGAGCATAGAGTGTGTGCTGTGTCATGTGGGGGAGGGGTCGGGAACTTTCAGGCTCGTCTGTCAGACAGTTTTACCTGATGAGTCTCCTTCCCTGCTCAGTAGCTGTAATCCGTCTTACCTGCTTTGGAGCTTGTTTGTATTATGTCATAGGTAGGCAACTTGTAGCCAGTGGCAAAGCCAAGAGGGGCAGATTTTTCTACAGTTCCACTGCTAGACCCTGACCATGGATGTAACACCTACTATCTAACTATCCTCCCTCTTCCACATCCACTGTGACCCCAGGTCCTGTGAGCTGGTTGGCTGCTGATTGAGTTAGGAAATCCTCGGATGTGCCAACCATCAGAAGCCCACAGCAAGTTCATGCTCAGTGCCTTCAGTGAGCAACAAGTGGGGAGTAGGGCAGGAGTCTTGGATGTTTCTGTAGCAGCATGCAGATCCCCAAGAGCCTGAGCTAAGAGATAGCTTCTGGGGCAAGTCAAGTGGAAGCAGGGTCCTCAGGGGGAGAGAATCATGGTGCTGCCCATAACTTAGCAAATGTAAAATCACCAATGGGAATGCCAGCCTCTTAGCACTGTCTGTCCTAGCCGTCACACCAGGAAAGAAACGAGACGTGGGGTCTTTCTAGTCTTGGGATTTCAAGCTCACTAAGCTCGATCTTCTTCTCTTTTTAAGTAAATCCTTGATAGCTCAGTTTGTCCCTTTTGCAATTCTGGTGATATACATGACTTTTTTTTTTTCTTGGTGTTGGGGACAGAATCCAGGACACACACACACACACACACACGGCAAGCACACACTAAGCATATGTTTCACCTTTGAGTACACCCCTAGCTGTTGATGTTGTTGACAATATCTGATGCCACATTCCAATTTCACAAGTAAAATGAATCCCAGAACTTAGCATTCTCAATCAATGTATTTAGTCTAGATTAAAAATGTCAACAAACTATAGGTCTATGGTTCTTTCAAAGTCCAGAATATGGAGTGATACAGACATTTTAGTAACCTTTTTATTTGTTAAATTGTTTGAAAAATCAGTGGTTTTTTTAATTTCATGTATAGCAAACTTACTGTGTTGATTTCAAGTTGTATTAGCAAGCTAACAGTAAGTACAACTGAATTCAAATTCAGGAAATAAATTAGAAGACACTTGAGCTTTGTCAAGGTCAGAATCAAAGGTCTGGCAAAGTTTGGACCCTAGTCTAGGAAGGATGGAGTGGAGGGTTGTGGGGATGATAAGGGGTAGAAGATGGGGATGGTGGCTTCGTGAGTGATGTTTAAGAATTGTTCAGAGCTCATCTGCCCTTCCTAGCTTCACAAGACCTTAGTGTAATTGGTGTGCAGGTAAGGGCCGAGTCTATGTACGTCTGATGAAACTATCACAGGTTAATTAATGACTTAAAGGCTACTTTTCAAGGCTTAGCACTTACAGGGTTTGTTGCAACACTACCTTACCTGTGCTGCAGGTGTTCTGTTTTGTTTTGAAGGTGGCAGTTCTCATCCCCTTCCGTAACCGCCATGAACATCTTCCAATTTTTTTCCTGCACCTGATCCCCATGCTCCAGAAACAGCGGTTGGAATTTGCCTTTTATGTCATCGAACAGGTGAGGACAGTTTTCAAAATGGCAGTAAATATTCTAGAACTTCAGCTGTAGGATCAAATGAAAAAAAAATCATACTTGGAATTGAATTTGTTTTTTTTTATAATAATTGCAGTTTAGTTAAATGAATTGAGCAATGATTATACTTGACTTTGAGATGATAGTATTGATATATTTATGGCTTTATATTGTTGCCTTAGGTTGTGTTTTTATCGCTGTGAAGTGATCCCATGGCTACAGCAACTCTTATAAAGGAAAACATTTAACTGGGACTGGCTTACAGTTTCAGAGATTTATTACCATAGTCACACAGTTGCACAGTCAGGAAACAGGATCACACACAGTGAGCTGAATCCACCCACAGCCATTAACTTAGTTATGATCCCCAGGGAAAGTCCCATGGGCCAACCCACTATAGACGGCCCCTCAGTGAGACTCTATTCTCAGGTGATGCTAGGTTGTGTCAAGTTGACAATTAAACCTGACTGTCACCCTGGCCTTTCCAATCACATTGCACCTTTCCCACGTGTCCAGGTTGATGGGTCTGTAGAGTCTCATTGGATCTTTCATTTCTCTTACTGATTAATGGTGTTGATCTTTGTTTTTATGTCTTTGCTGTTCATTTGATTTGGAAGTCTCTGTTCAGTCTTTTTTCTGATATTTTAATTTGAAATGTCTTTTTGGTTGGGTTGAAGAATTCTTTGTGTTTGCCCGATAACTCGTAAGTCGTGCTTGGTCAGTGTTTATCTACACACTGTGGCCTGCCCTTTCATTTTGACAGTGTTTGTTTCCCCCCTCCAGGGCTGGGATTAAACCCAGAGCCTTGCCCTGCTGTTTCCGTACTCTGCCTGTCAGATACAGGCCCAACTCCAGACAGGGTTTTATTAAAAAGCAAAGGTTTTAATTTTGATAACATCCAATTTATTGATCTTTTTCATAGTTCCTGCTTTTTGTTTTGCAGTTGAGAATAGTTTTCTGATAACTTTCAGAGTATTTTCCTCCAGATCGTTTATGGTTTTAACTCTTATATTTAGGCTAGTCCCTCTGAGTTGATCTTTATGGTGTGAGGCAAGGAAGAAGCGTTGGTTTTGGTTGTTGTTGTGTTGTTTTGTTTTTTCTTTTGGCTATTAGTTATTTCATAATCATTTATAAAGCGGGGAATCTTTTCCTCATTGGGCTCTTTGTTGGAACTGAGTTCTCATATACATACATATGTACATGGAACATGTATGTAAATCTATTTCTGGTATTTCTGTCTTGTTCTATTAAATCTACTTACCTGTTGTGATAAGCTTTTTTTTTTTTCAATTTCACCCTCCATTTTTTTAGTAGAATATGCAACAAAGTTAATAATGGACCAAGTATGCCCTAAGGTAGCAATTACTCAGATTTTTACTGAAGACTGAAGAATATCCAATTAGAAGTTTTTCTTTTTTAGTTTATTCTGATTTTTTTTTTTTAAAAAAAAAACCTTCTCAGCTTTTTGAATATGCTTTACCACTAGAACTATGCCCACTTATCCCACCATTGAGGCAGTATCTCACTGTGTAGCCTTGCCTGGACTGGTTGGTGTATAGACCAGATTGGCATTGAATTCACAGAGATCCACCTGCCTTTACCTCCTTCTCAAGAGCCACCATAAAGGTGTGTACAATGATGCCTGACCTAAGTGACTTTTCAACATGACAACTTATCCTATAAAAGAATTGACTTTTTAAAAAAAATGATAACAAGTCAGAATTTTAAGCTTTCGTGATAGCTGTAGTTATGGATTTGCATTGGTATCAAAAACCAATAGTTTTTGCTTCTGAATCATCATTTACCCATAACATGCAGGAGTAAGCTAGCCCTGCACTTTTGAAGGCATGCACTCTCTGGAGCTCAGTGTGTTGAATGATTTTGTGTGCCCGATGAAGCCATCTATCAGAGCAGCTGAGATCTGCATTTTAACTCTCAAATCTGTCAGGTCTGAATCTCAGTTTTGACTGATACTAAATCAACAACACAGTTTGATAGCTTGTGGCTTTGAACCAGAAGATTTTTCACCTTCATGAAATAGAAGAATTACTTCTGTGCCCAGAAGTACATCGCAACGGAAGAGCACCCAGAAAGCCAGAGTATCGAAGAGTAGGCATGGCTTTTCCGCCTCTTTGAAGACAAAATTTGAGATAAAGTTCTGTTAAATTGTTACTCCATCAGGACAGAGAGATGGAGCTAACAGCTGCCCAGCAGAGCAGATGCTATTTAGATCTTTCAGGTATATAGAACACAGTTGAGACAAGAAAGAAGTTAAGTCCCCAGTAGTCATCACCCTTGAAATATAGCACAGAGACAGGCTTAACACTGGGCTGCTTATGTTCAATCACAAAATAGCTGAGTGCCTCATTCATGTTTTTATTGCTAGGTGATTGACATTCATATCCTAGAGTTTCACTTCCAGAGAAACTATAGGGGAAGCTCTGGGCTGTTGTGGGGTCTAAAGGCAGGAAGGTGAGTCAGCTTAGGATCTCTCAGGCCTTTACCCTGTCTGTCTTTTTAAGGACAGCAAGGGATCCCTCTACTCCTTCATTTATGGCAAGGCACACATGGTGACTTCACTAGAGACACTTTAGACCCAGAAGGAAGTCTAATCTAGGCATCTGCAGAGACAAGGACAGGCCACTGCTTTATCATGTGTGTGTACCCCACTTCCCATCACTCAACAAAAGGTTTCTGCAGTGAATAAACCAAGGGTCCTCATTTGTTGCTGTGGTAAAATACCTTGACAATAAGAAACTTAGGGAAGAAAGGATTTGTTTTAGCTCACAGCTCAAGATTATAGTCCATCATCCCAAGGAAGTCAAGGCAGGAACTTGAAGCAGCTAGTCACATCCCACTCACAGTCAAGAGCAGAAGGAGATGCACACACGCCCACCTCTCCTTTTACCTTCTATGCCCTCATAAAGTTCGGAACCCAAAGCCAGGGAATGATGCTGCCCACAGTGGGCTTGGTTGTACCATGTTAATGAATACAGGAAGATCTTTCACAGGCATGCTGACAGAGCAGCCTGACCTCTAGACAACCCCTCATTGATACTCCTCATCACACCAACTAAAGTCCCTTACTCTTCTGGAAGGGAGAGGTAGTAAATTGTCATGTGATGTGCAGGCTCAGTTTAGAAAACACAATGGGCTCTATGTAGAGAAGGAGACATAAGTGAGATGGTAACAGAGAGAACACTTAACTTCCATAGTCATCTGCAAAGGAGATGACAATGGCTTCGGTTCTGGTGGCTCACGACATGGTGAACAGTGGCTAGGTTAGGTTTAATTAGAGTGAAATTTTTTACTCTTACAGTGATAAGTGGTTTGAGTGGTAGGGAGCTCTCTTGGCTTTTAGTACTTTATTTTCAAACATGAATAGGCTGCCACAGAGCTCCAGGTTTTAAAGAAAATGTTCACAAAGGAGACACAGTCAAGCCAGGTAACTGAGAGAACAAAGAAGAGTCAACAAAAACTCACAATCAAGATCCACAGAGCTAAGGAAAAAAATGAAAGAGTATTTCTAAAAGGGGAATGGTTTATCATTAAGAAAGAGCGATCAGAGCAGAGCAACAGTGCGTGTGAAAATGTGGCAGCCGAAAGCTTTTAAAAAGAATAACTGAGAGGGAAATAATGCCAAAGCAGAACCAAAATGTAAGAATGCAAAGGCCAAGAGCACCTCTGTCCTCCAAGAGGCCCATGGGATAGCACTGTGCTCTGAAACTAGACCTCTCACCTTCCCTGGTGAGGCTCTGCTCTGCTCCAAGAAGAATTCTGTTTCTGTTGATGGTGTGGTCAGCATCATAAATGTTGACTGGCCTTTTTCATTTCTGTTCCTTTTTCCTAGTACTAGGGATCTAGCATGGCCACTGAGTCACATGTCCCATCTATGGAGGTCACTAAGTTCTGCTGTTATTTTTTTTAATTAATTAATTTATTTATTTATTTTGCATTTTCGAGGCAAGGTTTCTCTGTGTAGCCCTGGCTGTTCTTGAACTTACTCTGTAGACCAGGCTGGCCTCGAACTCAGAAATCTGCCTGCCTCTGCCTCCCAAGTGCTGGGATTAAAGGTGTGTGCCACCACTGCCCGGCAGTGATTTTTAATATATTATTGTGTAACTAATACACTCACTCATCAGAGTTCTAGAAGAACCACAGCAGAAAAGTTTTTAGTAGTTTGTAGAGAAGAGGCTAAAGAAGAAAATATAAGGAAAAATTCTAAACCTTGGTGTGGTAGTGTATACCTTTAATCCTAGCACTTAGAATACAGAGGCAAGTGGATCTCTGAGTTTAAAGATAGCCTAGTCTATAGAATGAGTTCCAGGTCAGCCAGGGCTCCACAGGAAAACCCTGTCTCAGACAAAGCATATGTCTTTACGTGAGAGACAGCTCTCCCCAGTGCCCATGTGGATAAAACACACTTCCATTATAAAGCATAGTATTTGTCAATTTTAGACTAAAAATGAAAAAAGATATTTTAAAAGACTAGAAAAAAATCACAGAAATCAGGAATGTATGAACTGTCCTGCCATTGCAAGTAGCTAGAAACCTGACTTCCAGATTCTAAAGTAAGAAAGGTACTATGCCCCAGAACTTTCTACTCAGAATGTCAATTCCGGGGTAGACGGTGACATTTTCAGTCATTTGTTGGCAAAACACAGACACACACACACAGACATATTCTCTCTCTCTCTCTCTCTCTCTCTCTCTCTCTTTCTCTCTCTCTCTCTCTCACACACACACACACACACACACACACACACACACACACACACACACACTTTTCAAAGAACCTTCTGATAGCTAGACCTGAGCAAATCAAGTGAGCCACATAAAAGGCAAGAGTGATGAGGGCATGAAGCAGAGGCCTGGGCGGTAGTCACATGGCTGGCCTGGGAGGACAATGCGAATTGAGCTGAGGAGAAAAGGAACCGAGAGAGGATTTGAAATGTCTATAATTACGTCAGTGACTAAAGGAATAGGTTCTATCGACTGGCCTTCCTAGTTACACAGAAAGCCAGTTATCTCCTTGACACCAAAAATCAATTCAAACAGCACTGAAGAAATATTTACACAGTATCAATAATAATAATGTTACCATTTATCTTCCTTTCCATCTTTTCTATCTCACTACAAAAAAACTGTTCTTTCTTCAACCTACATGCCACACTGAGTGACATCTCTCACAATGCCACACTCTGATGTTGGCCACACCTCATGGCTCCTTCACTTCTGCCACAATCATTTTGCCTATGTTTTTGGGAGTGATTTTGTAAAATTTGTTAAAGCATTTGTAAACGTCCTTACTTTTCTTTAGATGCTAAACCAAATGCTGTTTCCCGTAGGCAGGATCATCACTGTGAATAAAGGAAAATGGTTACAACGTTGCAACTTGGGTTTTATGTCCTAAGTTTCTGTGTTATGTCGGTTTAAAGTGTTCTTGTCTTATTCTAAGCAGGGATAGAGTGTAAAAAGAGAAACTGTTGTCTGAGCACTGTACTGGAGGATTAGCTACAGTAGGGAGGAGGCTGGATGTGTGTTATCTAAAATGTTCTTGGCATACTGTAAACATCAAGACTTCAAAGTTTTCCAGAGTACATTGTCCTTCCAAGAAGATGCCCTCCTTTATTATATAGGAAAGCACCTGCTTGTGAGTCACCTTCAGTTTCCTGCCTTAATTTTCTCCCCACCCCCCATGTTAGGGATCCAACCCAGGATTCCAAGCATGCTGGGCAAATAAATGTTCTTATCACTGAGCCACACCCCTGCCTCTTGTCTCAATAAAAATTGTTTTTATTATTCAAAGTTAGTATCTACAAGTGAGTGCATGTGCGTAGGAGGTCAGTGGCAGTCGCAATGGCGTGAGCTGTGTAGTATGTATGTGCAGGGAACACACTCTGGTCTTCTGTAAGAGTGGACCTGACTACTGAACCATCTCTCCACAGCACCCTGTGTTAATTTTCAATATTGTAGAAAGTTCAGAGTATGCTTACTTTTAGTTGTTCTGTGTGTTCTTTGGTATAATATTTTTATTGTTCTATCTTTAGTTTGTGGTCACACATAGCCTGTGATCTGGCATATTTGAAGTAAAGCAAAAATACAAGTTGATGTGTTCATATAATGTACATTGCATCAGTAGAGTAGATAGTAACCACTATCTACCTTTCCTCCTTGTCACCAAATATTCATAAGTAAATGTAAACATGCAGTCATGTGCCTCATAACATCACCACCAGTCAATGGCATCATTCATATAAAATGGTGGTACAGCAGCCGTAGTTTGTGTATGTACATCAATCAGTCCCTGACCCCTCAGGATGTATCCTCCATCAGGAAGTGGTGCCTGGCTGTGTTCCATATGCTTTTGACTTGTTTCTTTCATTAATGAGATATAATTATTACTTGACCATGATACAACAAATTGAGAAGCGATAGGAAAGCATCACATGACCAAGTCTGAGTACATTTCTGGTTTTCTCTGCTCTGTGGAGACCGGCACACAACCATTCAATCGTGCGATGCTCTTTAATGTGGGTTTCAAAGAGGCCATGAAAGACAGAGCCTGGGACTGTGTGATCTTCCACGATGTGGACCATCTGCCGGAAAACGATCGGAACTATTACGGGTGTGGAGAGATGCCTCGGCACTTTGCAGCAAAGCTGGACAAGTACATGTACATGTGAGTAGCTCTTCTCCTCGTGATCCTAAATAGTGCGTGCTTGCAGCAATATGCTGGGCCTCCATCTGAGACTGCTCGACAGACTGAGGAGCATCATCCCCTCTCCAATGTGTCCTAGGGAGCCAGGACAAGGACTTTGTCCATTTGAGATTATACAGGGGTTGAGTGGGGGAAGAAACTGGCTCCTATAGTGAGCACATGGATTTCATCTGGGTTTTCACCCTTGGGCCTTGCTTAGTCACGAGCTCCTCTCAAGGCTGCTTTCCTTTTCCTTGGATGGTAGAGCCCGTCTGTGGGTGGCTTTCCTGCATCACACATCCTAATCCTACACGTGTTGGCTCTTCCTGCCTCACCTTCCCTTAGAGACGGTTCAGGGTCCAGACTGCCCTTCTGCAGATTACTTGTTCTTTAATTATGTGAAGCAAATATCCCCTGCCGTGTGTGTGTGTGTGTGTGTGTGTGTGTGTGTGTGTGTGTGTGTCTGTAGGTGTGCAGGCAGGTATATGTGCACATGTGTATATGTATCTGAAGGCCAGAGCTTGCTGTCAGGTATCTCCCTTAGTCATTTTCCATCTTATTTTTGGACTTGGAGTTTACCAAGTCATTTAACCTGGAAGGCTAAAAAGCCCCAGGGACCTGTCTCCTCCCCAGTGCTGGGGCTGATGGCGTACACAGCTTTTTATGTGGGTGCTGAGAATTCAAATTCAGTTCCTCATGATTCTGTGGCAAGCATTTTACCTTCTGAGTCATCTCCCGAGACCCCTATGCTGTCTTTATTATGTAAGTAGTTGTTAATCTGTAAAGTCTGAAACATGTGAGTCAAAGTTAATGACCCAGTATTGCCAGGAGGCTTGAGGAAAACTCAGGTGGGAACTTCTCAGTTCCAGGCCTTGCCACGGGTACCCAATACCAATACCAATACCAGCTTTAATTTCAAATATTGCACACAGTGCCGGGGATGTTTGAGTACAAGTGTATCACACGGCTCACCTCCTTTCTTCCTCTTTCCTGATTTTCTCATCCCCTCCCCCAGGGAGTCATGCTTCCACATAGAGATAATTTATTAGTTTAAGGGCTAATATTTTGCAAGAGAGGGAAACCTTGTAACTTTTGTCTTTCTGAATTTGCCTTACTTTGCTTAATATAAAGATCTCTGGTTGTATCCATTTTTCTCTAAATAGTGCAGGATTTTTCCTTTTATGGCTGACAAAAAACCCATTGTGTATAGCATTCTAAAAAATAGCAACAAATGTTGGTGAGGGTGTGGGGAAAAGAGAAGGTAGACATGTAATTAGCCCAGCTGCTGTGGGAATGAGCAGGAAGGTTCTTCAGAAGCAGCAATTCCTGTTGTGTAAATCACAACCCTATCTTTGGAGCAGTCCAAAGGGTTAGGTTAAGAAGTCACAAAATTGCAGGGAGAGCATGCTGGCAGTTCAGGGTCTGGGGAGGTCTATGCCAGACAGCCGTCACAGATGGAGGCTCACCCAGCACCTGCTGACTTTAGTCTCCTATTTGGACAGTGTAAGAAAAGTGCTATTGATATTTTATTGTTTTTTTAAATGGTGTTGTTTAATATATTTCCGATACTTTCATTTAACTTAGACTTTTTTGTTGTGTACAGAATACAACTCCCAAAAGTTGTCCTCTGATAGTATCTCCTCCACAGGAGATAGTATATATTCCACACAAATAAATAAATACAGTAAACATTTAAAATGCTTCAAAGTTTGACTAACTTCTTGGAATTTGAGTTAAGGAAAATAGGGAAAATAAAACCTAAATTAAAAATACTTTCCTAAATACTAGTATTTTAAAAATAAATATATTTGGGGTTAGTGAGATGGCTCAGCGGGTGAAAGTATTTGCAAGCCAGCCTGACAACCTGCATTTGAGCTCTAGAACCCATGTGGAAGAAGAGGGAACTGACTTCCACAAATGGTCCTCTGACAACCCCATTGGTGCTCCATGGCATCCCCTGACAATAAGTATGTGAAAAAATGTTTGAAAAGTGTATTTTAAATATCCATGAGTATTTTGTTAGTTTAATCCAAGCAGATAAAAGTAATTTTAGAAATAGAAATTCATTCAAAACTAAATGTGTTTCTTCCTGATTTACATTTACCCTATTCTGTGTAACAAATAATATACTTATAGAGTCAGTTAATATTTTAATTTTTTTTCAGCTTAGCAAGATCTAGCATTGCATTGACACTTACGAATATGTTTAAGCATATTTTTGTGAGAATATTATGCATCCTTTGAACACTAGATCTTGAGTTATAAAATAAAAGTACTAGTAAATTTTAGTTGACACACGTTTTGATTTTACATTTGATTTAAGTACTTGCTTTGATACCCTATAAAAATGTTTCATTTCTCAGTTCACATCCTCCAGAATCCTTTTTTTTTTTAAATCAGCTTGTTTTTTAAAAATAGAAGTATCTGTTATAGCGTACGAGAGGCGGGCGTGTGCGACTGTCGGTCCAATGGATGTGGAACACTGTGTCCTGTTCTCTTTTCCAGTCTTCCGTATAAGGAGTTCTTTGGTGGGGTGAGTGGCCTGACAGTGGAGCAATTTAGGAACATCAACGGCTTTCCCAATGCCTTCTGGGGATGGGGAGGAGAAGATGACGACCTGTGGAACAGGTATTTGAGCATGAGTAGCTTGGTAACTCAGGTTCCAAAGTTTGTCTGTGTTTGGAAAATCACACCTCTCCTAAGAAAGGAGACTTTGAGTTGGGAAGTTTTGCAAGTTCCCAGATTTGTTTTTGCTCTCCATTTTCTTTCTGAAATTCATTTAATCCATCTTACCCTGCAGAGTTCACTATGCTGGATACAATGTAAGCCGGCCAGAGGGGGACTTGGGAAAATACACTTCTATTCCTCATCACCATCGAGGAGAAGTACAATTTTTAGGACGGTGAGTTTAATGTCATCTTGAGACTTCAGGGCTTCAAAATTAATGTGCTGCATGGGGTTTTTGTTTGTTTGTTTGTTTGTTTTAAAGGAAGAAACTTTCTTTCATGATCAAAGGTCCCTGGCAAATGTGTTTGGGTTGCAGTTATAGGTTGTGTGTCTGTGTGTGTGGGGGAGTCTGTATGTGTTTGTGTCTGTGTGGTGTGTGTGTGTATAGAGGGAGAGACAGATGTAGACAATCATGTTCATATCTAGTTAACTTCTTATTTTTAAATATTTGCCTCTCTTAAAATATAATCTAGCTGGGTGGTGGTGGCACACGCCTTTAATCCTAGCACTTGGGAGGCAGAGGCAGGCGGATTTCTGAGTTTGAGAGTTCGAGGCTATCCTGGTCTACAGAGTGAGTTCCAGGACAGTCAGGGCTACACAGAGAAACCCTGTCTCGAAAAAACCAAAAAGAAAAATTATATATATATAAAATCTAAGTTGCAAGGGTATAAAATTCTCTCTCTCTCTTTTTTTAAGGTAACCTGTCTTTGACTAGTAAAAGTCTAATTTAGAGATTTTAACATATGCCTTTATTATAAGAATGACTCAAAATATATTTTCCTCTTTTCAACACATTTACTGCTGTTTTTTTCCTTAGGTATAAATTACTTCGGTATTCTAAGGAGCGTCAGTACATTGATGGATTGAACAATTTATTATACACACCCAAAATACTGGTTGATAGGCTGTATACAAATATATCTGTAAACCTCATGCCAGAGTTAGCTCCAATTGAAGACTATTAAAAGAAGTCATTCTCGTGGTGGGCTAGACCACAGTGCTGGATCACAAACTTGGCTTGGAGTGCCCTCACCGTGGAAGTTAGAAATCGGTGTATGTCTCAGTGTCCCCGTCTGTGAAAAGAGCCAGCAGTCCTTAATGTTTACAGCACGGGCTCCATCTCTTCCCCGCTGGGAGCGTCCCCCATGCAAGCACTGTAGCGATAAGAACCCTTTGCTTGGGATTGGAAGTGAAGAAAACTCCATACACAGAGAAGATTTTTATACTGAAATCTATAATTTAATTCAAGAGAATGCTTTTATTTCCGTTCAAACATATTTTGTACATATGTGATGTAAATTAAATGTGTTCAAATTGTTGGAAAATAAGATGTCACAATTTTGCATGTAATTGGTTATGCCTTCATTGGACTTTTATAGACTTTTTTTTATTTGCATGGGGAAAAATGTAAATTTATGTCGCCAAACAAAGGTTAAGCCTCGTGTGAAGGGACTGTCAGCGGCGGACAAAAATAATGCAGCAACTGTTATGTTGTACTGGTGTTCGGCTTTACACCTTCGGCCTTGTGGGAGGAGGTACAGTCCTCTGAGGGCTTTGAAGGAAGGAAGGAGAGACGGACTCGCATAGCTTTTCTTCCTGACAGGATTACCTGTTTTGTTTTGTTTGTTTTTTCCTTGCTTGCAGTCTCATCAGATCTTGCCAAGTCAACAGCCATATTGTTTATGCATACTGCATGAGTATTACCAAGAAAATCTTCCAAGTTGTAAAGTGACATGCTGTACAGGACCCTTCATGTTAAATGTCTCTATGTACCTCCGCCATGTCAGGGATCTTGTGCCTCAAAAAAGTGTTCCCAAGGTTGTGTTTATACACGGTAGATATTTTTTTCAATCTCATAATGAATGACATTATTATTTCCACCTTAGAAGAACCAAAAGAAGGGATCTTCTTTTAAAAGCATTTTTTTTAAAAGAATGAATTTGTGGAAAATCCAGTAGTGCTTATACAGATGAATTATACTATTAGATGAGAAATTAGATGCTCTATTTTTATGAAGATAAATGCTTAGATTAAAACAAACTTCAACCTTAATTCTCAGACGTACATGGTTCCCTTTCACATCAGCCAGTCATTGGAACTGCTCCACTTCCAAGAAATCTCTGGTGTTATTCAATTTTTTTTCACAAGTGTAGTTTAATGCACACTCCGTTCCCACTGCCCCCCCCCCCCCGCCTCCCCATGGTGCTGGGCCTATAGACTTACCTTAAAATCAATGAATTGAATGTGTGGATGCTGTGACTCCTGAATTAGATCTCACTACTTAACGCCAGGTCTGCTCATCCCCCACACTCGGGTGAAGTTTCCGATGACCAAACAGCAACAAAGCCCAAACAATGTTCTTACTTTGAAAATTATCAGTTATAAAAATTCCTAAAAAATAGCTTATATTCTCATATAAGATCTTATCTCCCATATTTAAACAAATTGAAAACAATATCGTCAATCTGTCATGTGAACCCTCCCTAAGAGCAAGAGACTTCTGAATATGAGAGTTTTTCCCCCTTGTCTAACGTTGAGAGCTTAGCTTGCAGTTGTCATTGTCTGTCATAGTTTTGGTAATGCTGATGGCCACAAGTCAAACCCTACGGTAACTAAAATCCTCGCACCGAGGAGACGGACACCCTGTCTGTCATGACAGCAGTCTTTCCGTGTTTATTCTTAGAAGTGGTTCTAAAATATTTACTTCCCAACTTTTTTGGCTACTCAAAATAGTGAAAAAATGAAATCACAACTTCTGGAGATGAAGATTTTTGTATGTTATCACTTATTTTCTGTCTCTTGTGACTAATGAAGTGTTTAATTCGACAGAATGACAGCAGAATGTAACGTTAATGTTGAGGTGGGTGAGACAAGGGCTCTAGGCGTGTGATGAACCCAGTGCTGGTCCCTCCTCACAGTGCTGTGGAAAGTGGTACCATGTGGAATCTTATTGGGAGAAACACACTTTATGTGACGGGCTGTCCACAGTGGGATGCCTTTTACATTGATACCTAGTTCACAGTTTTAGGAAAATTCAGAACTGGTTATCTGCCTTACTTTCTTAGGTTAAGTCTGGCATTAATATGGCTGCGGGAATTGCATGTAAGTATGTTTGCTATGGCTTTGTGTTAAGTATGTCAGCTTGTGAGAACTTCCTTTTCTAATTCAGACCTGGAATTCTTTTCAGTAATGAATAATGACCTACATATGCTCGTTCCCACGAATGACAGTTTTGCCTGGTTGCCATGATCACATGACAATAAGTCTCTTCCTTACATATTAGCACAAGCAGACAATCTGATAGAATCAAATCTGTTTGGTGGCTTTGCACTGGGTGTCTGTCCCCCATCTGCTGCCTTGCTAACTGGTATTTAAAGGTAGTTTTTGTTTTGTTTTTTTCCTAAACAAGTCAAATCAAGAAAGTTGAAACTTATCTGAAATTAGGAAGAACACCCTCTGGTAACTTATCTGTCAGTTGTCTTAGTCTCAAATCCAGTGTGGCCACAGATGCTGGGAGGTCCTCGTGGCAATGGGGAAATGATATGGTGCCTTTGAACTAAAGAAAGAAATTAAGGCTATTTATCAAAGAAAGGGAGAAAGTTCCCACGTTCATTGTAACATTCTATCTGATTTTCAATGAAGTTGTCATTTAATTATTTGCCAAAACTAGAGTTTTAATGAGGTGGCTTCCCCAGTTCCCTTTTTATAGTTATTTTCTGTTGTAGACTTTTGAGATGGCTCAGGGTGTAAAGGTATCTGCACCAAGCCTGACAACCTATATGTGATCCCTGGGACCCACACTGTAGAAGGAGAGACCTACCCTTGCACAGTATTCTCAGACTTCCATATGTGTGAGCACACATATGTACATACACACAGGAGCACACATGCACGCACACACACACACACACAAAGTTAAAAGGTAATTAAAAGTTGAATTTATGTTTGTTTTATAAAAGGTGTTCAGTAAGAAAATATTTATGAAATTTAAGTACAAAATTATTAACAATTTTTATTCCAGCCAGTCGATGGTGGTATATGTCTTTTAATCCTAGCTCTCCAGAAGCAGAGGCAGGTTCTTTGAGTTCAAGGCCAGCCTGGTCTTCAGAATGAGTTGCAAGACAGCTGGGGCTACACAGAGAAACCCTGTCTCAAAAACAAAACAAAAAACTCCTATTCCAGTTGATACTGAAAACCACTGTAAAAGAAAATAGAAGCATTACGGATACAATATTGTCCCTTTGAAGACTCCCGGGGAGGGGGGGAGCAGATTTTTGTGTCATTGTATCTGTCCTGTTTCTTTATTTACCTTTCAGATAAATAACACTCTAGATTTCTTGCCTTGGGTTTGTAGATTTGTTATTTGAGAAGCAAATGGTCACGGTGTTTTTTGGAAAGTGGAAGTGTACTTAAGATAATTTATTATGATATGGAATACTTCTATGTAAGTGCATTGACGTAAATGCTAGTGATTTCTCGCTGTCTTCTTTTTTGTTTTGTTTTGCTTCTCATGGAAATGTTTGTACTTTTTTATCATTGTCTTTTATGAAATATAATGTTCTAAAGACTTTCTGTGGTGATGTCATTGTTTTCTCTCAGAATGTCTTGGGGATTATCTGGTTTTCTTCTGCCTAAATTTTGGGAGAATTGTTGCTACCTTAGTAGATGTTAAAGATGCACTGAAAATATATGGAGATCAAAGCGTAAATACACTCAGTGTTCACCATGACTCCTTCCAAAACACACTATCACTTAGTACTCATCTGTACACTTAGTAATCCATGATATCAAGAATTATTTAACCCAGGATTGAGATGATTTAGTGGGTAAAATGTTTTCCCCACAGATACCAAGATCTGAGTTTGTCCCCAGAAGCCATGTAATGTTGAGCGTGGTAAGGAGACAGGAGGATGCCTGGAGTCTTTTATGCCAGCTGGCCTGATAGAAGCAAGAATGAACAACAAAAAAGACCCTGACTTAAACAGAAGCGAGGTTGAGACGGAAGTTGTCCTCTGACCTCCACCTGCAAGCTGTGGCATGGTGCATATGCACATGCACAAATGCACACACACCCCTACCCCCAAAACAAAGTAAACACAAGAATTCTGTTCTTACCAGTAGCCTTCCCTTCCTTTTCTATCCACGGCTTCTGGGAACTGAACTGAATGTTATAGTTAACTCATTTTTCAGATAGTAAGCTATTTTAGAGATATTTAAGGAAAAGCAGTCAAATTTCAAATACCTTGGGACTAGATTTGTTTTGTATGGGGGCTTTTGTGCACTTGCTATTTCTGTACTGAATCCTGCTATTACTAATATTTAGACAACTTGTGATCTGCAGATATTGTCACCGAACAGCACAAATGATGTCAGTCATTAACCACCATTTAACTAATTAGTCATAAAATTTAATTAGGTTATTGTGCCTGAAGTTCATAGTTCTGGTATGTGCTCAGAGAACAGGGTTTACTTAAATTGGGTGTTACTGGGAATTGAACCCAGAACCTCTAAAAGAGCACTCTACCAATGAGCTGTATCCCTAGACTATTATTTTGCTTTTCTGAGATAGTCCTCAGGCTGCTCTAGAACTGACTGTGTGGCCCAGACTGGCCTCTACATTATTCTGGTGCCTCAATCCCTCAAATGCTGAGATTACAGGCATATGCCACTACTCTTGGAGGTTGAACTTAATAGCCATGTGTTTATTTTTTGGTTATGTCTTTAAATACATGTTGGGACAAAATGGTTTTATCTAGAGATGGCTATATTTGTAAGGACTCTCATGCTAAATCACTCTTGATTAAAGTGACTTCAGAGCAAAGTGATTTGCCACCACAGTATACTTTAATTAAAGGGAGGAGAAGGAAAGGGAGAGGAAAGGAGGAGAAAGGGAAGAGAAAAGGACAAGGAGTCGGAAGAGAAGAGGAGAAAACAAGGTTTGAACAATAAAACTGAGGTCTTTCTCAACATGTTCTGGTTTGTTTTTTCATTTGGGTCAATCAAGGTCTCATGTATACTGGGTTGGCCTTGAGCTCACTGTGTGGCCAAAGCCAACCTAGAACTCCTGCATCTATCCCCCAAGTGCTGGGATTTGACTGGGGAGATGGCCCTTCCAGAGGACTAGAGTTCAGTAAGCAAGCACCAGATGACAGGTGTATACCAACATGCCCAGACTTCAGACAGTCTAAAATACAGTTTGATGTGCTTGAAATATATTGTTAATTTAATCTTTGTTGTTTCAATTTGTGCTCTAGAGCCTCTTTGTGGTAGTTTGAATATTCTTGGCTCATGGAGTGGCATGATTTGGAGGTGTGACCTTGGAAGAAGTATGCCACCATGGGTGTGGGCTTTAAGACCCTTGTCCTAGCTGCCTGGAAGCTAGTCTTCTGTTTGCCTTTGGAACAAGATGTAGAACTCTCAGCTCCTCCAGCTCCATGCCTGCCTGGATGCTGCCATGCTTCCACCTCGATGATAATGGACTGACCCTCTGAACCTGTAAGGCAGCCCCAATTAAATGTTGTCCTTATAAGAGTTACCTTGGTCATGGTGTCTGTTCACAGCAGTAAAACCCTAAGACACTCTTGAAGGGGCAGCAGACACTCTGACCTTCAAGAAGTATGTCGTCTGAACATAAAACCAGTAGAGTGTGTAGTCCTGAAGAACACCTGTCACTAATGAGGCTACACTTGGTGATTCATGTTCCTGAGCCTCTCTGTAGGAGTGACTCTTCTCCATGTGCAGACTGCTTCTCAGCTCTAAACATGGACTCTGAAAGGGTAGTTGAAATGATCGTTTGTCTGCAATAGACTAACAAAAGGTAGTAAACTATTGAGGTTTGGTCTGTTGCTATGTGTTATAATGCTAAATACTGATCCCCAACATCTGGCTGTCCCCAGAGACAAGGAGATCATCATGTACAATGGGTGGTGCTATGTAACCTTGCCTGTCCACCCCTTCCTAGTAGTTATCCTTGATTGGTAAATAAAGATGTCGACAGCCTATAGTGGGGCAGAGGAGAGGAGACAGGACTTCAGTTCTTGGGCTTGGGATCTGAAGCAGAGACCGAAGAGAAGAAAAGGAAAGTGGAAAAAGGAGAAGACATTATGGGGTAGGTGAGCCATGAAAACATGGCCAGGAGGGCTGGCTGATTGGAGTAAGAGCGACCCTGGCAGAATATGGCAAGTTATAACTCAGGCTATTGATAGGGAAGTAGACACTAATAGCTTAGAGGGTAGACATCTGCCAAGCTCTAGTTCTTCAAAGACATAAATATAAAGGTTTTGTGTATTTACCTGGGAACTGAATGATCAAAGGTTGGGTAGAAACCCTCAATTGATATTAATTTTTACAACAGACTCTTTGGAAGGCTCTGTGGGAAGACTCATACAAGACTGAAAAGATCAGTAGACAGCAAACAGTAATCCGTTAAAGCTGGGTGGATCTCAGTTTCGTGAGCCTC